AACCTCCTGCTCGCCTTGATGATGAACTTCCCTCATCAGATGATGTGAATCATGGCTGACCTTAGCTTCATCGACAAGTTCGCCGTCGATGTGTCGATGTTCAACCATCATGTCTGGATGGTGATTCGGCATATTCGGATCCTGCATCATGGTGCTTGACCTGAAATACCGACAAAGATCAATAGCTTAGTAATCATGCACTCCCCAGATTGCTTCATCATCTCTATTAACAGCGTACAACTGCTTAAGTAACGTACGCCGCTCCAGCGAAATAGTTTGGATACTGTATCATGGGTGATACGATAACAAGGATGTCTCAACATACAGTATGCCGAACCAGGGAAAAATCAGGAACTGTCTAATTTATGCCCACAACTGGTCAATGAGTCAGCATTTAAGATTTGAGGGTCTGAATGTGAATGTGAATATCAAAACATGTGAGCAGAAGCTGCAGAACTATCGAGCGAATACGTCAACGAAGAGATTGCTGAGCGCGTCAGTTATCCAGTCCATTGGCGTGACGTCGGAGTTATTTCAAAAGCGAGCTCTTTCTTCAGCTAACGAGCGGTGTTTCGTAATTGATCAGAGAAATGTAAAGTTATTGAAAATAACAATTTGATATGTGTGATCGCTCTACACGGTATTATAATAATTTTTTAATGGGAAATAAAAACTACGTATGTACGAGTGAACAAAGGCCGTTTTTGAAGCGGATCGATACTGATGCGCCTCCCGTTTCAAAATAAACTCGATGCACCCACCGTTGTGCTTGTTTACCACCTTCTTGCCCTAGAATGTTGTTTCTTCTCCTCGTGTAAATCATATAGTTACAACTAAGCATTGCAAGTTCTGTGAATGCGGGTGCAAAGGAGTGGCATTTTATTGTTGGGTCTTCCATGTTTTTCGTTCGTTCATCTAAATTTCTCTTCATTGTGGGAGAACAATTTATCATTACATATGTTTGCTGTTGAGGGCGATTTTTATGGAGAAACAGTACTGGTAAGCTAGAATCATTTCTAATAGTGGAAATGGTGAGTTAACTAAAATGCAGTTAATTAAAAGGTTATATGAAAAATCTCGCTTTAGTCCATCGATAATCTGGAATGAACGGACGTTGCCAATCATTCAGTGGTAACCGGAATAGCCGCAAGGCACATTATGAGTTGTTTGATATCCATCTTTTCATACTGGAAAGTAATTAAAGACGTGTTTTGGGTTTCGCGCCGCATTGTTATGGGTGATTTCTCTGCAAGCCCATCTTTGTTTGGATTATTTACAACAAATAGAGCTGTTGAAGAGCTTTTGTTTGACATGTCGAATCTGTATACCAAATGACAGAATAGGCAAAACACTCTGACCAATACGTAAACAAACACAACTAAAAGCTGGAATTAATAGCGATATGTGATTAATAGCGATGGTTGTTTAGAGATGAATTCAAATAAAGATGGGAATGGGAGACCGGTAGAGCAACTTAGCATATGGCGATATGGATAGATAGATAGGCTAGGGCGGTATCAATACATAGGGGTTTATCGCAGTCGAATAACCAGTATGCTGACTGACAATATTTACATGATCAAACTCGTTAGATTTCCATCGAACTCCTGAAGACCACAGGTTGAAACCTGTTTAGACGTGATCATGCGGCAAACCACGAAATTCCTCTTCACATTCATTCGGGGTTCCTATCCTCCTGTACGTATGACGTCTTTGTATCCTTCTTTGTTCCTGCAGTTTTCCTGATTCCACAGACTTTATTAAGCAAAAGTTCTAATAATTGGAGCACCGTGCTCGCTCGCGACAGGTACAGTGAGGTTGTTTGAGTGCTTAGCTGAAAGCTATTCAATTACATCACGAAATAGACGCGCGACTAGAGATACTTTGGTACTATTCCACTATTACAACCCCAAAAACTCAAAATTTTAATTTTCGATGAAACTTCCCCTATAGGGGTAATCCGATGCTCTGA